TTAATTTGAGTGGAGGGAGGGAGGGAAAAAACAAACTCCCCTAAAACACATAGAGAGAGAAGGAAAAAGACAGGAAAAAAGTATGTTGTGGCAGTCGGAGGAGGAGAAAAAACAGAGCGAGTCTCAGATTACGCCATCCTCCCTCCCTCCCTCCTCCCTCGTGGAAACATTGCGTGAGAGCGCTCTACGTCCTGATTATGATTAATGCAGGTAGTGCCACACACACACATACGCACACATACACTGAAACCGCGGTTCTGGCTGGGTTCTGCCGTGGGTCCCTGCTCAAGCCTGTGGTTCTGTACGGGGCAGTTAACACTCCGTCTGGCTTGTTAAAGCTAAAAATCACAAACTGGTAAAAATCACAGTGAGGAGGCCAGCGTGGCTGAGAGCAGAGGGATCTTTATGGCACAGCGAAGGGTCTCAAACAATATATATCCCCAGGACGCTTTAGAGAACCCTTCTAAAAGTTCTTTATAGCACTTTTAATGGATTGAAATGTCCATGCTGTTATGGAGAACCTTTCTAAAGGTTCTGTGCTGCACTTTCAAGAGTTTAAAACAAGCACTTTGATACAGAGAACCCTTCTACAAGGTCCTTAAAGCACTTTTAAGGGTGTAAATGATCAACGGGGCTATATAGAATCTACAAAGAACCCTCTAAAGGTTCTCTCCTGCATGTTTAAGTGTTGAAAATTAACACTGGTTCTATAGAGAACCAATCTAAAGTTCTTTCCTCGATTTTCAGTGTTTCGAATTAACTATGTCCCCCCTGGAGAATCCCTCTGAAAGTTCTTCGTGGGAGTTGTTTAAACTGAACCATGGTGCTATACAGAACTTCTTTAAAGGCTCTTTACAGCACTTTAAATATGGTGATAGAAGGTTATAGAAGATCCTCTACAAAGGCAACAACACAACTAAGGATATCAGCTGAAATGCAACAGGATGTTATGGTGCCCCATGGTGCCTTAGAGGAGTCCCATACAGTGGCCCATGGTCTTATCAGTATGGTTAAGGGTCTATTATTAACTTACTGAGCATAGTTCTCTGGAGAGCCTGCAGAGCAGCGTAATGTGTCCAAGACTCAAATACAGTGCTTTATAAAAACTCTCCAAAGTTATTTACACCCCAATGAGAGGTCTGATGAGGACACTTCAGGATGGTGCTTTGGAGAACCTCTAGAAAAGCACCTTGAATAATATAAGTAGAACAATTAGAGCCTGGTGCTTTATATAACCTCTAAAGGGTTCTTTCCCAAAGGGTCTAAAATAGACTTACATACTTGTGGTGCCTTTGGAAACAGCAACACCATCTACTTGATCCTTTAGACATCCTCACTCCTATACAGTATCTTCCATCCATCAACACCACAGGGGGCCTTTAAAGGATCTTTGAAGCAGATTTATTAATGTTTTTTAAACTATGTGGCCATTGCGTACCAGAGTACTGGATTAGAGACCCAATCTAAGTTTTTCTTTATGATCTCACAGAAGGAACTATTGTAAAATTATGCTTTAGAGAACCTTTAAATATGCACTGGAACCAGTATATGCTGTTTTAAGGGCTATAAAGTTCATTCTAGGCTGGTGACATTAGAGTGGGTCATCTACAATCGGAAGGTCGATGGTTAGAGTTCAGGCTCCTCCAGTCTACAGAAATCACATGAGCACCAGTTGGTTTAAGTGTCAATGAAGAGATTTTTTTTTCCACTAGTTTACATCCAGTTTGAATTGTTGTTTCTTTAAGAACATTCTAGTTCAGTGAAAGAGAAAAGTCCACTTCTAGTGGTTTATTCACAGCAAAATTCATGAGCAACTAAGCCTATCATTAGTAATATCTCTATTTTTTTCACTTTATAGGGCTGGGCAATCTGAGGGCTCTGTTCTTCTGTTTTTGTGCAAAGAATAACTTTGTGGTTCCCAAAGTGAAGACCTCGGGGACATGCAGCGGCACTCGAAGGGCTTCTAACAAGTCCTGAAACTTCATCTCTGACAAAGCACAGAAGAACAAAGATTCACTGTGCTTGGCTTCCCTACAAAAACGGGATAATGAAATGAGCAAAACTCCGTCCAAAAACGGTTCCTTCTCTATGCAGAGGTAGTTTTCAAATTGCACCGTTGGGGGGGTTTCTGAGGCGTCCCGACTGGGGAATCAAGAGGGAAATAAAGATACTATACATATATTAAAATCATAAGTAGAATCACAGGAAGGTGGTACGATGAGATTTCTGATGTGGGGTTTCAGTCTTTACAGTGTCAACCTCCCCGCCTACAGGGCACACTCAAACAAAAACTCAAAAGATAAATTCCAGTTCAGCACCATCCACTTCTGAGGAGTCCTTTAAGGAGTTTTTAAAGGCCACAGATCAGTCTGGGAAGGCCAGCTGTCCCAGATGGTAAAATTAGATTTAAATGATACTGAAGCAACAGTTAACTTTATTCTCCACGCAGTGCTGCTGGACCTCAGCACTTCACATTACCTCGGGGTGGCTGGCCAGTATTGCATAACCACTGCAGGGAAAAATAGACTTTATAGCCCTATGGATTCAACAATCCAGCTACTATTGCACACACACACACATAGAGGGCACAAACACGCTTATTACAATGTAACGCAGGCTATAATACAGGAGTAGTGCAGGGATGTTTGCACAGCTGCACCTAAAAAAAAGGAAAAAGAGATCCCTGGTGTTAGAAAGCTTCACTGTGACATGTATGCATGCTTTGGGGAGAAAAACACACAGATTGTTGCTCAATATAAACATTAAAAGCCACCAAAGCGATGTGTTTTAACAGGATTACACGTCCTAGCTTCTATTGAAGGTCAAAGGGACTGCCCGTACTGGCACAACTGTAGTATTACATTAGTAAACAGTAAAACGCGTTATAAAGCTGGTATAAACTACACCACGGAGCTCATAAGGTGCAATAAAACGTCTGTCTTTAGCTCTCCGGTCACCTCAGACACCTCAGAGTGCTCGGGGGTTTTGCTTTGCGGTGTTTGGGGAGTTGACTTACATTTTCTGGACGGGCTTCTTCCGTTTCTTCGCGGCGTAAAGCGCCGTATTCGGCAGCATGTTGAATTCAGAAGAAACAAAGTGAGCAACAAGTGGCTTTCTCCCGGCTTTATGTGCGCGTTAACAGGTCCAGGCGTGTTCAGAAGACTCGCATGCCCTCGAAAAAACTGAAAAGGAGATGTTTAGAAATCCCCCCCTCCTCTCGGTCCTCGACTGCTTCGCGTCCCGAGTGCCTCTCAGCCGAAAAAAAAACTTTTTGTTGTCTTTAATCGAAACAAGCCTCTGGTAGAAGTTAAAAACTACCACAACTTTTTATTTCCACGACGTGTAGGCCTCCTCGTCCGAGATACGGGCGAGTAAAGCGACTTTTAGGTGTTAAAAGAGCGAAAAGTCCTCGGAGTAGTTTTATGTAAGTCCTCGGGCTGCGCGTCACCTCCGTAGTGATTTGACGGGGCCGCTCAGCCGCCGCGCGCTCCCGTGGCGGTGAGTGTGAATGTGTGTGTGTGTGTGTGTCACTGTAATGAGAGAGAGCAGAATATTTAAGGTGGTCCAAATGTGGGCCAACTGAAATACACACCGCAGCCGAGGAATGGTTAGGAAACCGCATTCCAACCGGGAAGACCTTAAGGACTGTTTTTTTTTTCATTGTAATGCTTGTATAAGCGTTTACTAACTAAATAAATAAATAAAAGTTAGTCT